CCATGTTGAAAGAATTAGTTGGATGACTTCAGTTAGAAGAATCACTCCAAAGACTGTTTAACCTACTTGAAAAAGAAAAAGGGGTGGAAAAAACCCAACAAACAATCCCCCACAGCTTTTAAATTTGGAGATTTGAAGTATTCTTTATCTTATTAACCTACTTGAAATCTGTACTCAGAACCTGACAAAGTTAAATATAAAGAGCTGACTCTTACTGATTCCAAAAGGAGTTAATTTGAAATCAAGAGGATTCTCATAGGCTGAAGTTCTTATTTTCCCCTTGATGGGTTCCAGGATAATAAGCTATTATAAAAGAAATAAAAATAGTCATAAATCTTCAATATGAAAATGGGTGGCTCAGCTCTGGGCATATGCAGTCACTGTGATTATGAGAATGTTTAGGCAGATAAGTGGAAGTATAGGGGGTTTAATGTTTATATGAGGAATTTCAGGCACTTTCCCTCTCTACTGTAAAGCTGTTGGAGTTGAAGTTCACTACAGAGCTGTTTAGAATCTTTCCCACAGGACATGAAATCCTGTGAAATAGCTCTACTTCCAGTGGGAACTGGTAAGTTTCTCTTGCAGTTGACTGAGATTTTAATATGACTTTGACAATCTGGCTCTTTTCAGGCTGATCTTCCTTAGACATGCCAGTCAAGGCATTAGTTGACCAAGATCCTCTCTGTCTGCAAAGTAATTACTCTGACTGCCAAACCCTTGGGAAGTGCTTTGCAAAGATTCAAATGCCAGACCCTGTCTTGGCACTGAAGTGCTTCTTCCTGAAGTATCTCATATCTCAATCTGACCAACCAGAAAACCAAGCAGGACTTCACTTTCCAAAGCACACAGTGAAATGAGAGCACTTAATGCAGTGGCTGTGCACAGAGAGAGGCAAGGCTCAGGCTGGCCTATGGGATTCTGAGTCCCAGCTTGCACGAGCGAACACAGATGGCAAAACTGTCACATTCAGCTCCCGAAAACTCCCGGTTTTACAGGCCCACTTTGTCAGCCTGCAGAGCTGCACTGCATGCAAGAAAGGAGGTGCTCCAAAGAAAGCACCTGCTGTGGCAAGTCAGATAGAAGTATAGCCTCAAGAAGAGATTCCCTTCTATCCCAGTTTGTTGCACACTCCCACTTTTACTGTTTCCTTACTGTGTCTCACCAGGCAAGATCTTGTGCCCAGAATTCTCGAGCCAACAGACTACTGCTTTGCTCCTTTGTTTGGAAAAACACCCACCACCACCACCACGAAAACCCCGTTTCTGCTTTGACTCAGGTAAAGAGTAATTTAAGTGTTCAAGATCTGGATTTTCTCATCTGCTCCTGTAGTTTTTACTTTGAATTTTAGAAATATTCATGTCATATAGCACAACATTAAACATGCCACCAGGAATAAATAATAAATAATACCGTGAGTACCAGACATCATAAACATAGATAAAGTTATGAAGAAAGCTGTGAGAATGAATAGTTTCAGTCTGTCCTAAGCTTTGAAATCTTAAGACTACTTACCTTTGTAGACATAATATTCAAAAGCAGCATTAAAACAGGATTGTTGCTTTGGTCATTATCTAGAAGGGCAGTGTGGGAGGAACGAGGAAAAGAGAGAGAGAAATCATGGACAGGCCAAGATCACCACCTAGTGACAGAACTTCTGCTTTGCAGGAGGTTAGCTTAAATATCAAACTCCTGGTGCTGGAGAAAAAAAATATCCAACCCTTATACAACAGTCCTCTAAAGGAAGGATTATATATTGCTTTAAGATTACAAAAAAATTCACAGCATACGATCTGGTACAGTGAAGTATGTAGCACTTTGTTGGCTCTTTTTGTTTGCTTGTTTTGAAAACTATCAAGAAAAATATTTTCTTGTATTTGTGGAAAACCAATGTGGCAGCTTCCTTTGCCCCCATTCTGAGAAATACAGCTTTCCTTGCTCCCTTTCACACTCTACAAAGATCCTCACCATAATTCAGTGCATCCTAGTCTTCCCCACCCTAGCTAAGTTCCATGCTTTTATTTCAAGGTATTCCAAAGTATGAGTCACTGAAACCACCTAATGGACTATCAGGGCACTTTCACCCAGATCCAGTGAGCCTCTCATGTCGCTGGCTGCCAGTGACTGACTTCCCAAGCACTGTTATGCTTTATCCCTAATCACTCAAGTTACTTAGCTATGTGATAACAGCCCCAATTTTGGTTTTTTAAAAAACAATTTTCTAAACCCTATCATTTTAGCACACTGAACAATACTGTGGCCTGTAACTTCCCCCATCCTGCCTGCAGATGACAATTTTCTGCAGTCTCACACTTAGTTACAGCCTCTGTAGGGCAGGTCCTGTGCATGCATGCCAGCACAAGAGGGCTGCAGTCAGGGACCAAGGCTCTAGGCTGTCCACTGCTAGGAGCAGGGCTGCACACCTCTACCAGGGTAGTTAGGGAACAACAAATAACCTCTCATGAGGGAGGGTACTTGGAATTGTGCTAAAAGCAGAAGCTGTGCCCGGCAAGGTTTGGAAATGGAAAGGCATCCATTAGCTGTAACTGCTCCAATGCTAAACAGAGAACAAATAGTGCAGGCATTAGAAACATTCTTTTTTAAGGCACCGTTATTTATTTTATTTATTTTTTAGATAGCACCAGGGACAGTTTAGGCAGCTCTAAAGTAAAATGCAACCACAGTACAAAGGTGCTGCTCAGCTGATAGGCACTGTGCAAAGGGGTAGCCTCGTCTGGTCCTGAAACAGTTGTGCTGTGATGAATTCCATGTTAAATAGGAAGCTATAGCCTCAGACTAGTGATTACTCTGGCTCCCCTTCCACTGATAACATTTCAAGCTGCTATTCTACAATAATATTTTCAGTCAGCTTTTAACAATTTAAAAAACCCCTGATAGTGCCAGTATCTATCATGCCTGGAATGTCAGTAATCAGTGTTGTTCTATTATCCATCAACAGAGTTGAGCTGACACATGCCATAATTTATTTGGACAAAAGGAACATACTTGAAGTAAAAGTTGTGTCCTCATGCTCCCTGAAAAATTTAAACTCGTATCCTATTATACAGTTGAACAAGCTTCGCCTACACTGTACTTCTGTACCCAAGCTTCCTAGGAATACTTGAAAAATAACAAATACTTCTAAAAGAAAAGGCAGACCCACACCACCATTTACAAAGTATAGCCAGGAAGAGAAGCTCAAGTAAATATGGAGATATATAGACATAGATATAGATATATACATGTCTATATTTACATATAATATGTCTACAAACATATATATGTTAAAATACATAGAACACTTTAACACGGTTTTATTCTGGTTGCACCCAACCCACCAGGCAAATTACTTTTGGTATTCTAAAGTTGACATATTATTTCTCTCATGTGTCAGGAAGAGTGAAACTGATTTAAACACCTTTCTGTGAGGCGATGTAGGATGCAATGCTTAACAGCATTCCCTGAAACTAAGCTTCTCAGAATAGAAGAAAATCTGTTCTTTGGGAGAGTATGGGTCTTGTAAGTAAGCACATCTCACTTTTTAAGAAGGAAAAAGAAAAAAAATTCAGTTGTGAACAAGCCATTGTGAGGTACTGGAAATAGCATTTGGACATTGCTCTTCCTGGGGTGAGGGCTCCAGTTTGGGCACAGAGATGACTTACCTTGGAGCAGCTCTCGTGCCCTCAGCTCCTGCTGTCCCCTGGCTCCAGCGGGGGACACAGCCCAGATGCCACAGATGTTCCTGCAGGGGTCCCAGGCAGGCAGCCAGGGAGCAGGGTGGCAGTGGAACATCCCTGCTGTGTCCAGAGGTAGATCCAGCTGTTCTGCAGAGGCAGGCACCCCACCCCACGCAGTGTGCAAAATCAAAGTAGCTGCTTGCTTCTGGCAGTTACTCTTAAAGCTGGTATTTTTGCACAAAGCATTGCTTTGTGCCTTACACAACTTCCTCCAGAGTTTATATTCAGAAGATTCAGGTATTTTGAACCCTTCCCTCTAGACTGATTTCCCTTTTTGTACCTCCATCAGTAAAAGCTCATCTTGAAAGCAACTTTAAATTACAAATTAAAAAAACCCAAAACCAAAACCTCAAATGCACAAAAGACCAAAACAAACAAAAAAAAAAATCACTACCCACCACTACTTTGACACATAGCAAACTAGTTTTTTACTCTCTAAAGCCCCTTAAGCACTTCATAAGTCAGCTCCTGCAATGCCATCTCTAAAAGCAATGCTTTCAGTCTCCAGTGTGGAAAGACACACATATTTACCAGTGAATGTTCCCATACAGATGATTTAAGAAAATATAAAGCAAATCAAACTTTTTTCCTTTAAAATAAACAATATAAAGCTTACACTACAGTCTGTCAAAATAACATCTCTGAGGGATAATGACTAATCAAGGTGAATTAGACTTCCTTAAAAATTAAGTGCATGGGACAAAAGCAGGAATAACTAGCAGCTATATACCTCAGCAGGACCACAAAAAAAAAACCCAAATAAAAACCAAACCAAAACAAAAACCCCAAAACCAACAACAACAACAACAAAAAACCCTATAAAAATTATTTAGATCATGTTGACTAAGCATATTTTTCCCAAAGAGCTTTCTCTTGTGAGCTGGCTTAACCTGATGAACTATATCAATCTGGTTCTCATTTCTGCAACCAATTTGTTTTCTAAACTACATACAGCCAGTTGCATAAACAAATCCTATTATAACCACAGAAGCAGCTGCCCCAGTTTCTGCTGTAACCAGCCATTTACAGATGATTCATTTGCTCAGACATTTTTTTCCCACATGCTAAAGTTCAACTGTAAGAAACAGAGGCCATAGGTTATAGAGCTGAGTGTGGAAACAACGGAGAAGTGAAGGTATTGCCCACAACACACTTCAGTCTGGTGCCAACACAGGTACCAGGGAGGGGTTTTTTCTATCTATAAATCACAGTTCAGACAATTGCAGGGACACACCACTGTGGTCTACAAGAAGGTACATCATTTATTTGCTAATTTTAGCTTTATTTTATGTGTACATCTGTACATTTCAACCAGATTCACAAAATGTATAACTTGTGTTGTCCGAGTATTTAATATAGAGGTTGACAAATGGCTTCATGATTAGTTAGAACATGCAGTAAGCTACAGAAAGTTTATGAAAATATTTTAATAGAAAATTTTAGTTAAATAAATGAGCATGAGAAAAAACCATGTTTAACTTGCAAATTCTGTTTATAAGCTGAGACATTTCCTACCACCAAAAACAAAATAAATATAAATAATTACTTAACGATTCTTTAAATCTTACAATTGGACAACTGTTCCACTGTGTCTGCATTCTAAAGAATGGAAGTGGAAATTGTGCAGAAGAATGTTTTACTTTAAATAATTGTCCAACTGTTATTGCTGTTTTTCAAAGAACCTGAAAGCATGCAATGAAAACTTCAAACTAAACAGACAGCTGAATGGACATATTTAGGTTGTTAACACAATTAAAATGCAAAAGATAACTACAAAAGTTTCTCAAAATGTTGCAGTTTGTTTGTTTTAGGTTTTTTAATATGTACATAGAGAACTGTACACAAACAGGGAAATAAAAAAGTTGCTTAAAAAAATGAAATATAGTAGTGTACAGTATTTACAACTTAAATGCCATCTTTTTTAACTGGAGCTAAACTATTACATGAGCATGCAGTACATCCACCACTCAAAACAAGTACCTTTTGCACACCATAACAGAGTCCTGTACAAAGCATAAATCAACTAAATGTTAAATCACTCTTCTCCAGCACTGTTGTTGCTATCTTTCAGCTTCGTAACTTTGCCTAAGTCACAACACTTTAGCTTAGGTAACTTCATAAAGTGAAGATATGAACATCTATTTCTAATACAAGTTTGAAGAATGCATTCTATCAACAAGACAGTTTCTAGTGAGACACCAACAATGTTCTATTGGTTAATTCATGCTTGATGAAAAGCTGTACTGAAGGAGCACCAGTCTGTCAATGGACTAATGAATATTTTTTTACCTTTGTCATTTTTAAAGATTTTCAAATTCCCATTTTCTTCTCCTCCTATTTGTTCAGCCAAATCCAAATGGTTACAATACTTGTATTTGTAAAGCTTATAGTACAACTGTTAAAGTAATCAATACAGATGATAAATACTTTTTCTAATGGTAAAATAGGTATTTATTCTTAGTGGCTTCTGTAAGCACTTCTGAAGAATTGTGTGCTATTCTATATATTGTCACAGTCAAAAGTTTAGTTCTATAGATACCTGATTATCCTCTAAAACACCCAAAATATGAAGGACCTTCAGAACTCCATTATCTGTATAAAATCTAGGCACATTTCAAAGAAGGAAAACTTCTAGCCAAGTAATTTTGAAAGGTTTTAGATTTTTAGCTCCCATATACCTTATATTGGTGGATAATCCAAAGTGGGTTTTGCAGTGTTGATACTAAATTTCTCAAGTAAGCCTAGAGAGTTAAGTCTCAAATCAAAAGGAATGTCATTTGTATCAATCAAGTATTGTTTACTTTACTGAAAATGTCTCTTCAGTTTTTACTTTGCCTTAGAGTTCGTGTTTTGGTCCACAGAAGAAGGACAAAAGGACATAATATCCATTCTCTTCAACAGCTATCAAATCCTGCTAGGATTCATGCAGTAGCTTCCTAAAGTCTTCAGTAACTACAAGACGAGCAACCAGAAGTGACAAAATGTGCATTCCTGAAGGAAAATACTTTAGATCATTTTTTTAGAGCACAATTGTTTTTATACCTACTACACTGGGAGAATACCCCAAGCAGTAATACATCTTCACAGGCTTTGAGATGTCTTTGTGATTACATTTAGAATTAATACACAGCTTGAATTTCATCTGTAACTTCAGGCACAGTTGTAGGAAACAGCAGAAACAGCATGCTTCAGGACAAAATCTGTCACAATTTTAGGATATCAAATGTATGTACTCAGGTTGAATTCTACTTTCTAGGATAACTTCATTTTCCCAAAATTATGTGCAGCTACGTATACAAATTAATGAACCCAGATGAAGATTTCACTGCTGTAACAGAGGACAGAATACTTTTCCCACTGACTCAAAACAAATGTTCAGCTCTGTTAAATTCATCTCTACTCAAAGAACATTTATTACTTCAGCTGACGATTTGAACAGTCTTTCCACCTTGGGCTGCTCCCAGTCTAAAGACTAGAAGTTATAATTCAAAAGGTACCCCTTCAATATGCTGGTGCAGTTGTTATGTATGTTAAATTTTGGTAACTCTGAAAAAAAGTTATGCTTTAGCATTTTTGTGTATGTAACACTCCATCATAATTTATGAACAACATTCAGAATTCCATTTTGTCTCAAATTGCTTGGAATTAGATTGGTTATTAGGATGACAACTGTGACCTATCTCCATGTCTTTCCCCTTAACTGAAATACACACACAATAAAAAACTATTTCTAGAAACAGAAGAGCAGCTGAAAAACATTCTCAGGTTCACAATTGCATTTCTAGGCCTTATTAGAGTCACATACTTTCTGGGGAGGGAGGCTAACTGATTAATCCACAATTCACTACACCAAGCAATACTATTGTGTCTATTCATCTGGAATTACACACGTGTGATGTGGCTGTGTACAAAAACATCCAGTTTAATATGCTCATGGTATAAATACTTAGATTTAATGCAGGCAAGGCATTATTAAAATATGCCTAGTGCATAAAATACATAAATTAAAACAAAAAGACCCAATCCTTATAGTTATTAGAGCTCAGACTCCATTACAGTTTCTGCTCAAATGGCATTATATCTGTGCCCCCCACAACAGAACTCAAATACAAATTGTAAGCAAAATAAATATCAATGTACAATATATTGAGAGGGAAACATTATTTTCTTTATCAAAATCAAAACAGTGTACTTCAAAAATAGAAAGTTCTTTTAGACAAAATCAGATCCATTTTGATAGTTCAAAACTGGTTAAATTATTGGTTTCTTAAAAAAAAAGTCAACAGCAAATCATGGCTAGCCATAGCACACAGCTTAGTTTCATAAACTCAAAATTACCCAGAAATTTAAAGACAATAATTTTTGGAAGATTTTTTTCCTGAAACATAGCTGCAAGTTTTGAATCAAAACAGAATTTTTTGATTTGGGGAATAAGTCAAGCCACCCAGAACAGTGCCAAATGCTCCTTAGCTGCTTCCCAAAAGAGCCACCTCCAGTATCTGCATATCAATGCACAGAGATTGTGGAAACTCTATTGAATGCCCGAGTCAAGGTGAGAGAGGTCGTCTGCAAGGGGAATCTCCAAGTAGGCGTCTGCTACTGACCTCCAAACTGAGGAAAAAACACCAATGAAACAATATTTGGGTCACTTAAGAAAGCTTTGGGTCAACAGAACCTGGTTCTATGGGTGATTTTGGCTGCCTAGACACTTTTTGGAAGAACAGTACAGCATCCCACGTTATCCATCGCATTCCTGTGGTATGTAGAGGACATATTTGGAATACAGATTGTTAGATGTGCCAATCAAGGGTGAGGCACTGCTGAACTTGCTACTCAGAAGCCAAGGAAACCTGCTTTGTAAAACCCCAATCAGCAACAGCCTCGGCTGCCATGGTCACGGTAGTGGGATACTGCTGAGCATGCTGAAGGTCAACGAACAAACATTTTAGATTTAGAAGAGCAAACTTCACTATGTTCATAGCCCATGGGAAGGGAGGAGAAAGTGCTGGGAGTTTTTCACCAACAGTCTCCTGGAAACACTAAACCAGTTCATCCCCTTTAAGGTCAGGAAAGAGGCAGAGCAAGAGACCTCCTTGGCTTAACTGTGAACATCTGAATTTGCTCAAATCCAGAAAAGAAGTGTACCAGAAATGGAAAAGCAGAAAGATACACATTGAGAACTAAAAGGACATTGATAGGATGTACAGAGAACTTCAGAAAGTTCAACAAACAAAAGGATAAGATCTTGCACTTGGCAAAACACAATCCAGGAGTGCAGCACAGGCTGGGATGGACCTGTCTGAGGAGCAGCTCTGCGGAAAGGGATCTGGGGATCCTGGTGAACAAGCTGCTCCATGTGAGTGAGCAGTGTGCTGTTATGGCAAAGAAAGCCAACTGGATCAACAAAGGCATCACCAGCAGAGAGAAAATCACCATTATCTCTCTCAGCCACTTGACAGGCCACACCTGCAATACTGGGCTCTCTGTGTTGAGCTTTGGTCTGTGACATGCAAAAAACACACAAAACCATGGACAGGCTGGAAAGGCTCCAGAGAAAGGCCACAGGGATAATCAACAGTCTGGGAAACCTGACATATGAAGAAAGGCAAAGAACTGGGTTGATTCATGAAGAAAGAAGGCTTAAGGGAGACTTTATCACCATATTCCAATTTTCAAAGTGTGGCTACAAAGAAGAGACTCCTTATTACAAGCAGTCACATGGAAAAGATGAGTGGCAATAGAAACTTTAAAGACTTGGCTGGTCAGGGTGCTGGGCTACCTTGTCTAGATCATACTCTTGACAGGAAATGTTGGACCAGACCATCATTGAGGTCCCCTCCAACCTGGTATTTTACAATTCTATGATCATATTATTAAATTGAAAGTGTGTGGAATGCTTGAATCTTTGATAGCATCAGCTTCTAAAAAACCAGTACCTTTTCCACATTAAATAATATATTCAGTACTCCCCCTTCTTCCAAATATTAAATTGTGTCGATGCATTATTTGTTCTGCACAATGCAGAATGTGCACTTTGATACAATGCAGAGACAGGCAGAGCTGATTGAAGATAGTGCTAAAACATCCTGTGTGGACAATACTGCATTGTCCAAGGGTGAACCAGGGTACCATCAGCGCCATTCACACACAAAGATGTCTTTGTAGCTTCATTAAGAGGGGAAGGGGGAGGGGAGGCTATCTAAAGTAATTTTATTTTTTATTGGAAAAGCTATTTCAGTTGTTAGCGTGTGTCAGGTATAAAACAAACTCCACAAAGCCACCATTCATTCAAATATATACACACACACACACACATAAACACTGACTAAAGCTTAACAGGGATATGGAATGAAAGTTCCAAGTTTTGCAGACATAAGGCCACTCTCACTTTCTTTCACTGCTGGAGTTATTAAGCAGTAAGTTCATGCTGTGATCAAAGAACACTTCACAGACAAACTTTTCATCATTATAAACTCCTCACAAGAAAGAGCTGAAATCAAACTTCTGTCAAATAAAGCCTTGTCCCTGTTAGGCCACTTAAGCATTATATTATCTGCCTGTCCCTTGTTTCCAGGCAATAATGCCACACAATGCAGAGAGAGCTAAGCACATTTAACATTTTAAAAGTGAATACAAGTACCTATGCAATAAAAATTATTTGGAGAAAGGGAGCTTAAAACCTGCAAAGATGCCTCCTTGTCCGAGGGGAAGAGTTACAGTGGCAACAACTTCACTGGCACAGTAATTAAAATGAAGAATGTAGCTCATCAATACAAGCATATGTATCTCATCAGTTGGCAGCAGTCTGCTGTAGTTTAACTTAGAGAAAGACAGCCAGCCACTGACCAGTGGCAGCATAATAGCCTCCTATAAAAATTAAGAATTGAGGTGTTCAAGGAAATTTGGAATCTGTGAATTAGTTTCAGTGTGAAATAAAGGCATGAGACAGTCTAAATTACTGAAAACAGTTCTTTGTGATGTGGTTGGTTTTGATCCAGACAAGCATTTCCAGGTTGTCAAATAAAATGTTTTAAACTCTGTTGAACAGGACACTGTATCAAGTAACCAAATTAATTAGAAATAATTAAAATAGAACAAGAATGAAGATGTGACAATTTTTTTTAAATCCTCTCCCCTAGACATATATGTAACAAGGCACATTAGGAGAAATATCTTAATCACTTTATTATTCAATTTAACTTAAATACCTGAAACCAGTTTTCTCACAATTTAAGACAATGGGGAGAAGTTTCAATTGCTTGTTACAGATGTCATAATTTCATTGTCTATTAAAGTGCAATGGTTGTGTGCCAAAAATGATAAGCAAAAATAAAAGACAAATGACAAAAAAAAACAAACCACAGGAAAGTTTTTGAAGACATTCAAAAACAATGACAGTATATGTATTCAGCTACATTTTTTAAGCAATTAGAAGTAAAAATAACACTGAAAATATTTATAAACCTATATTTTAACTTGTTCCCTGCAAAGCCCACAATTTTGTACGCTTTCCAAACAGGACTTTGATGCTTTCAAAGAAAACAAATACTATTAGCATTTCTAGTACTTTAAAGAAAGGTATGTGGATTAAGATAAAGGCAGACAGGTTAATTCATTATATTTTAAAGTACTAAGCAATGACTGGATTGCAAGTTACATTTTAAACATATTCTTTTAGGTGTGCAGTAGGTGCCAGTGTTTGTGACAGTCCTGAAAGTCTTTTTGACATCATAACAGCAAAACCTTTGAGTGATTGACTCCCCGTCATCATTAAGAGACAACTGATGAAAAGCCTTAAGCTGAGAGAAGATGTAAAAGATTCCTTATTCACAGAACTTTTTGCCCTTTAAATTTTGTATTTCATAAATAATTAGTCATTAGACTTAAAATTTCTCTTTACTCCAAACACTCACATTTATGACATTTCACATGCACAACACCACTCAGTCCCTTTTAAACTAGAAAAGCACAAACCACTGAAAGCTAAGTATTTGAAAGTTCCAGGTATCTTAATCTTTCCAAAGATACAAAGTATTCAGAAACAAGGTAGTAAATACATTAGTGCTGCCCCACTTACAAATTTTTGGAGTATGGTAACCATTTTATTACACTTAATATTTTTGTTCATTAGAAAACGAAGATATCATATTGTTAACCCTTTCTATTTTCCTCATAGATGTATTCTCTGAGAGTTTGTTGTATTTGTGTTTTCCTTACAGAATACATGTAGGGTAAGGGTCCTACCAGTGCTTAATTAAATATAGGGAGTTTATTTGCAATGCATACCCTTTTTCTGAGGTTTGCAGAAGGGCTGGTAGCCATCTGTATGCTTAAGACAAAGTAATTTCAAGGAAAACATCGGTTTAAGATTTGTTTGTGCATACACAACAGCTTGTACTTAATAGCCTTCATACAGTCACCTTAAACTCCTGATTTCTGACAGGCTAAAATCACAAAGAAATGTGCCAAGGAACAAAACTGCCACGAGCCATTCTTCACATAGTGCTCATTACACCAGGGTTGTTAAAGCTGTGGTTCTTAAACCCCATCAAAATTAATCTACATTTTGAAACAGATCTAACCGTTTTTTTGAATGCTGAACAGGAATATTCAGCATCCAGAGAGATTCTTCTAATGCACAAAAGTCAGTTATCTTGCTATTTCACCTGAATTCAAGGAGAATTGTGCACATTCACAGAATTCCTCTACATTCCAGAGCTTACCCAGCCACCCCCTCAGAATTAAACCCCAAGTTTGGCACACGGAGCAACTTTCAGGATGGCCCCTCTGTTTCATTCCAAGGTGTTAAGGACAGTGATCCCACCACCAAGCATGGACCTGCCTGGCAGCTGCTGGAGGTGCTCCATCTCTGCTTGGCACACAGGGATCTGCCGTGACAGAGGCACGTTAAGGCGCAGTGCAGGAGTGCAGCAGTTCCAACACTAGAGGACAGCCTGCTCATTTGACTGAGCCCCGAGATTTGTAGTGCACTTTCCACATAGCTTCCTTCCCCTTGCACTAGAATTGGAGTTCATAAGCTGATGAATCCACTGTCAGGAAGCTTCTCTTCAGATTAAAGATGTTTTTCTCCCCCCTTTCTACATGAGTTTCAAAGCGTCGCGAGAATTCTTGAAAATGAGATAATTAATGTCAGTACTGTCTGTCCAACGCCAAAGACAAGAGCTTCTAGGGGAGCCATATTCTTTCCTGCTACTCTGTAAATTCCAGCTACTGCAGCACCTAAGGATCACAAGGAGAACAATGATCAAATCACAGAAAAAGCCAAGGTTGAAACATGTGACAAATTATCTACTCCATGTGTCAGCTATTTACAGAACATTACCAAACATTGCATTACTTCATGGTATTACACAATTACCAGTCTTGCTTGTATTTTTATAGTTATATATATATCCTTCAGGAATGATTTTACCAACTGAATCAGATCAACTTTTCCATCATCAGTTTAAGAAAATCGTATCTTCTTGTTTCCCTGTACACATCTTCAATTTTTTTTTTTAACATTTTTTGTCTTGTACCAGTTTGAAAAGGTAGCAAGACAGTCCTCTAAAAATTGACCAGGTCTGAAGAGTGGTTTAATACTGCTTGTACAGGCAGGGAGAAGGCAAGAACAATAAAGCTGTGAGTGTCCACAAAACAATTGCAAACACACACTGACCAGCTTCATTCAACATTTCATCTGAATAAACTGGTCATACTAAATGAGTTTATTTCGACTTAAACCACTGAATTGTTAACAATTGTTTAGCAAACCTAGCAAAACATGAAAGTATTTCAGTGTTTACCATAAATGTGCATGAGAGGAAATTTCTAACCAATACAATTAGATTTTAGCACATAAAAAAATTCCAAACTCAACAGATCATTTTTCTTGTACATTTGTGTGCAAATTCACATTTGAAATATAATATCAAGAGGCCAGGATCAACCTAAACCAAACCCAAAATTTAAGTGTAGACCTTCAGTATGCACTGTATCAGATGCTATCTAGTCATAATTAAATGACTTCAGTGATTGCACAGAGGCTCTTTCAGGCCCAAAGAGAACTGAAAAGTCATCAAAATATTTTTTAAATAATAAGAAAGAGTTTACAAAAATTGGGTTTTTTTTTTGGTTTTTGCACGTCACTAACAGGAATAGTCTGCTGTGAATAGTGATCCAAAATCCATTAGTGACACAGAAATACATTAAGTCACAACAGATTTTCTGAAAGTACAGTCAGTATCTGAATCATCTGACATCTTCAAAAAGTAACACTTCAGTTTCACAACAGCTTTAGGAAGAGTAGGATTCACTAGTGATTGTGTCATAATGGTACTTACAAACACTATTAATCATACTGTTAGGCAACTTTTGGGTTAATTTATTTTTACTTTTTTTTAAACATATTCTGTAAAGTATATTTTGTCTGAATATCTCACCAGAAGGCTAGCCTTATGGTATTTCGCTCAGCTACCTTTCATAAGCTTTTCCATTTGTTCCTTGGCTAGCTGCTGTCAAAACCTGAAAGAGATCCTTTAGATTGAGCCCACTACAGACATTAAAATTATTTTTCAGATTGAACTCTCAAGGCGAATTCAAATTGGCCAAAAAAGTATACCAGAACTGTTACTACTGGATCAATAAGAGAAATTTTGGTCTTTGAAAAAACACTGAGATATTCTGGGAAATATTCAGAATAAAACAATAAAAATTTGATGGTTTGCTAATTATGCATCATTACATAAATAACAGTGTGCAGTACAACCTGTAATGCATAACCCAGCACAGATGGTATAGAGCCAAAAGTATGTACAATAGGCTGCCAACGAGGGAAATGAGAATTTGTCACCAAAAAGGAGTGTGCTGGGGAAGAGGAGGAAGGACAGGCCCTTCTGGATCAAATACAGCTAAAATTCTTGCCTTGAGCTGCCTGGTATTTATATATTCTTGTTTGGCTTGGTGGGTTTTTTTTTGGGGCTGTTGCTTTGTGGGCTTGTTTGTTTTTATTATTATTATTTTGTTTATATTATTATTTTATTTATTATTTTGGTTGTTGTTTTTTTCTTTTTTACTGTATTCCCTTCTGATTAGTAATTTTCAATATCTTTTTAAATTATCCTTAATTTCCATGACTTTTCAAAGCTAAGAAACAGAGGAGTCTCCTGCTTTTCTATATGCTGCTAAAAAGGTTCCAGAACATCAGAAAGTTTGAAAGATCTCCCTGAGCAAAATTGAACTTATTAAATTAAAAATTGTGCAATATTCTATGCTGCCTTCATTGTCATACACAAACAAGGCAGAAGACTGGAAATGCAAAGTGGAAATTCAAGTCAGTTTGCTATTTCAATTTCTTAAGCACTGGACCAGGCATATTCAAATAGCTTTTAGATATTTTAACTTCCATCTCTAGTTTGCAGCATAATAGCTATTAAAAATCATCTTTAATATTTGATCACCATAATTTGCCTTCAAAAGCTCCCCACAGAATTTCTATCAGTACGAAACAACTGAGTTCTGGCCAGAAACAAAAAATACTTCAAGATAAAAGTATTTGCCTAAGCTAGTTGTAATGCTCTCTGCAAAACCTTTGGGAACAGCATAACAAGTCGACAGTCTAAGCTTGGAGAAGTTCTCAGATGAATATGCACACAAACACGACTGCTTACGTGCTAAATGTTTTGACCTGCAAAACTGGATGCCAAAAATACAACTGTGTTGCTCCTCTTTTTATGCAAAGATAAAAGACACAAAGTACTTTCATTTGAGAGACACTGATCCTGAAACCTCCCCAGCACACAAAGCCGTGAAAGTCTCTGCTTGGATCTTTCAACACCACATTTCCTATCTCAGTTCTTCAGAAATGCTCCTGCATGGCTGACCTTGTAACAGGCCACTGCCATTTTAATCCTAAGACAAAAATCAGCATAACATATAATATAAGGCACTCAACTAATTCCAACTTATCTTAGGAAAAAAAAAAAAAAATCCAACCTCCCCCAAAAAACCCAACAAAAAATAGCTATACTGAAGCATACTGTGTTAACTGGTGGAAATCCTAAGCTGAGAATCTGTAGCAATTAAAACAACATTTCGAGGAAAGTCTTAGTGAAACTTCTCATGACATTTGCATTTTTATTTAGCCTTGAAAAACAATAGTCAGGAAGGTCTTTCTGCAGCAATAAGAAATAATCTGACACAAATCCTCTATGAATGTGTCTGAAGCTGATAGTGATACCACTATTCTGATAACCTGGAACACAGGAAAACCAAAATGAAAGGTGGGAAGTTTTGCCTTCAGACTATATGGTAGTTGCTAGATTTATGGCTCCTTAGCCTCAGAGACCTTTCAAGTTAGGCAACCTTTTCTGCAACACTGAAGATTTTGGGGCAGAAACTATGACTCAGTTAACATAGGCACCACTCAACACATGGATTTTAACGCTGAGAATTCCCTACCAGCACTGTTGCAGACAAGCACGTGCTTCTTTCCTGAAAAAATAGCATTCACTATTTTTTCCCCAACAAGAGAAAACTCAGCATGCTCCTACTTGCTTGGGAATGCTACTGTAGTCCATCTATAAGTTTGATAAACAGAGCTAGATATGATAAAACCAAAGAATGAATAAAGTGTCCTACAGGTTTTATGGCCCATGTTTCAGTGGTGAAGTAGATAATGGAATTTCTTGGGAAAGATGGAAAAGCAACATCTGACACCAATAACCCTAGATGAGAACAGATGAGCAGCATTTCCTCAAAACATTGTTGGCAACAACACTCATGTCATATGAGTCAGGTGCAAACCTTCCACACTTCACTATATAACACACTCCTACTTTCTGCAATGTTTTAAACATGAGTGTGGATTTTAACTACAGCTCTGCGGACCTTTGGGCTTTAACAGAAAAAATTGTTGCACCTATCTGAGATACAATGTCAAGAAATAAAAAATGAAAAACTGTATCTTGAGTGGTAGCCATTCATCTAATTCCATAAGAAACTCTGTAACAGATGTCCTTGCCTAACAGTATTTCACCTAGAACATCAGCAAAGCTTAATTTTTCTTTTTTTGGGAGGTGGGGGGAAGCCACTCTATAACTATTGCAGAATCCTTAAGAAACAATTAACAATTAACTAGAAAAAGCTGGTGGTTTGTTGTTTTTTTTTTGTGTGTTTGTTTTTTCTTTTTTTTTCTTTTTTTTTTTTTTTTAAGAAGTTAGATGTAAAATAAGAAAGCAAAAAAATCCCCAAAACAACAACAACACAAAAAACCCCCGAACAAGAACAAAAGGCAGACTTACTGGTTATCATTGCTCCAGTTATAGAACCCAGAAATCCAATGCTGACCACAATGACAGATATCAGCCTCCCCTGCCTATGTCTCTGCAGCATCACAAACATTAATACTCCCACAGCACCATGGACAAAGAGAGAGGAGAAGAGAGCCCAGAGGAAAACCCAGTACCACATCTCTGAAAGAAAGCAGTAAATAAAGGGTTAATATTTTAAAGACAAGAACTTTATAAGTAAGAAACTTTAAAACATTGCAAACAATCAACAGTAAGAGAAAATCAGTATTGATTTCCATCTTAAAAGACATCATCAGCACATGCTCAAGACTCTTTCCTCATTTCAGCAGTCTGTCATAAAGGATTAGCTGTATTATGTTAAAAATTATAAGAAGGATTCTGGCAAAAATCTTAATTCAGGTATATTTTTACAAGTAGCCATAATTCCTTTAATGACTTCTTTAAATAGTGTTGACTGTAATTTCATAGTAGGCATTTTAACTGCTTCGGTAGAATGAAATATCCTCTGACACAAAGACTGAAGGAGGAAAAAGTCAAGAACTGGTTTGGGGTTTGTTGAAGTTTTTATTTTGGGGCAGGTGTGGATCTTTTGTTGTTTCCCAACCCCCCACCCTCACAAATAAGAGACAGCATCAGGTAACATCAGATGGGAAAACTGAGATTAAAGACTTTAGCTTATCTACACCCAAGAGCTGTAATAAAGTGTTCCATCAAATCAGCTTCAAAGGTGCAAATAAAAACACTATAAATTTAACAAGAAATTTTAACACATCTAACTCCTTGCATCTAATTGCTTAATACAGAACTCCAGAGAGAGGTAGTGACTATTATCTGAATTACTAAGAAGGGCGTCAGATCATGAGAATGTTTGGAGCACAAACATTTCTTTGAAGAATGGCAGACATGATTTCTTCAAAGAAAAGAGCTGGAACCCTGAAACCATCAGTGGAGCTACACAGTAACTCAAGAACCTTTCTCACTTGGTGCCAACTTTCTAAAAACATTCTACAAATCAAAAGAGTAAGTAAATAAAAGAAAAAATCCCTTTGGTTTTAAGTGAGTTACAGTGGGTATGTATCATTACAGAATTCAGCAAATTAGGGTACGTATTCCATAATCCCGCAACACTGTCATTAATTCAGATTTTGCTGCAGTTCCCTCAAAAATAGAACAAAACAAAAAATCCCAGCTTCCTTACAAAAGCAAGATACTGCTTATGAAGCAAGCCTGTATTAATGTAGCTTGACTCATATAAACTATTTGAGGAAAAAATATAACCCAATTAGCTAACTTTAAAAATACTCAGCAGCACAAAACACACTCTGAAAAGATGCTGAGAAAAAAGAAGTTGCTACACAATAACCACAGTTATTGTGGGAGTCCATTGTCAGTAGGATATGTATATAGATAGCCCAGATAGAGAGTTCAAGCTTTTTTTATTTAGCAGTACTTTGGGAGTAGCTCAACCCTTCCACACAGGCATAAATGGCAACACTATGTCTGCCCAAGGATGTACAGCTCCCCTAAATCATGATAGCCAAAAGACTCTTTTAAAAGAGCAGCAAGGAAAGTGGCTGGCAGATCTACATCCAATGAATGCTTCAATTGTAGTTCAAGGTGCAGCTTTTCCTTTTGAGTGCCTGGGTACATGTGTCCACATCCTGAGGGTGGCTCAGAGCAGCTCTCATCAGATCCTCCATCCCTTCACCCATGGCCCCAAGATGGGTCTCAAAAATCTTGGCAAAAGGATAACGACCACGGTACTGTTCCACTAAATCAATGTCTTATCATTCTCAGAAGCTACTGTGACAGAACAGTGGCAGAAGTGTCAAGCAGTCACTCCACAAACCCCCTTACCAAAAATTAAGAAAGACTAGCTGACCTAATCTGTGGGAAGGGAACCTCTCCTGCTGTCCTAACATGCCTGGTCCATTACTAGCACAGCCTGGGTGTTTCCATTGTTTTATTCAAGTGGCAGCACATAAACAAAAGGATCAACCAAAGATCTAACAATATAGAACACAGCAGCCCTGCCAGACCTACAGTAGGACAGCAGTAGGATTTATTAACCAAGGAAGTCTGTGGGAATCTGACACTTTCATACCCCGTAATTTCTATGGATTTGTTAGGCACTGGATCATCACCTTTTAGGAAATTGGGGTTTGTAGGCATTGTCAACCTTTATCAGGTAGAAAAGACAAATTGCTTCCAGTCTTAGGAAAACTCACTAGGATGACTGTATTTTTAGAAGAAAATGAAAACTTATGGGAAGGCTAACTACTCCCCTGTAACTAAGAAACCAAAAATATTTACAAACTCTTACACAACAAAATAGCTCCACAGTGAGCAACTATCTTTGGTCTTATTTACATTCCAAATAAGGTTCAAGGAAAATTAACATCATCCCTCACTTTATATTTAGGGCAGGAGGCTTGAGAATAGAGCCAGCAGCAAAATGTCCCGTTGGCTAAAGAAATACAAACTTCATTTCTTTGTTACACACTTTCTCCTCCTACTCCTTAAAAGCAGCAGGCATATTGAAAAGGAAATTAGAGAACATCCAGAAATACTCCTTGTTTGACACAAAAGCAGCTGGACCTTTGTTAAACTATGACCTCCCTTCATTAAAATATCATGTATGTCTTAAAACATCATGTAGGAGCTGAAACAGGACAAATCACTTCCAAGCACCTTCCCTTGAAAAGGCCAAAAGCTATCCTTTCTTATCCTCCTTTATTTACTCTTTCTATGCCTGCTAGTTCAACACAGTCATTTATTTACTTCTGCTTGCAGGGTGAGTGATGAAGCCAACCAAGTAAGTTGTTTAACAGGGATAAACAAGGTAAGGAGAGAGACAACCCTTCAAGCAAATCAGAGGAGGCCTTAAGCTCCACTCACCTAGAGGACAACGCAGACACTCTGATATGGTGAGGGCAGAGAATTATTCATGTTCTGTAAAATTCAGTATCATCTAACCACTGAACCATGAAAAGAGATGACTCTCAAAAACAGTATCTTGGAGTAACACTGAAAGGCACAAAGAATGGGTTGGGAATAACACTGAGAGGTGTTACTAAAGAATAGAGGAAAAGAATGTGGACCTCTGAACACAGATGGCCAAGACTTCACTTGTTCAAAAATGACTGAGTAGTTTGATTGCTGAATTGATTTGCAACATCTCTAAGGAAGAGGAAGTGAGACTGAAGTGTCTCAGCTATTTATGTCCTATACACTGACTGATCCTTTAAGCAGCATAAATTTATGTATTGCTACCCTGACAAAAAAAGCACAGTCCAATTTCAGCCTTTGTGCAGCTATTTTAATTAGTTGGCTCTTTTGACAACATGGGCTGCTGTTACGGAGGTAATGATTTACCTATATCTGTCAGAGAGATTAAAATACTCACTTAGCCTCAGTTTATTAGTCATGCCCTCAAAGAGATATGAATAGTACAAAATTAAAAAAAAAACAACCAACAAAATGCTTGCAGCTTCCCTTACCTGACCCTAAGAAAATTTCAGCGTTTACTTTTAGCGCATCCAAATTACCTGAAGTCACCAAAACACAACATACATCTATCAAAACTCCACAGTTCCTAGAGAAATACGGGAACTGGGGAAGGACCAGTAGTCTACAAGCATAGTGATATTCAGCATATAGCCAAGATGCCACAGCTCTTCTAATAGGAACAACTGAGATAGAATTTTAAACATGAAAAATGTTAGTGCTTAAACTGAAAAGAAGATTTAAGATAGTGTTTATGTACCTTTCCTCTGGTTTGCCTCAGCTGGCGATTTTTTTCCTACCAGAAAAGCTGCAAACTCAAATACCTTGTAATTAATGCCCAATCACACCAGTTTTAGAGCACTTTGTTAATTTTGATATTTATACATATCAGACAGATATCATTCATACATTATGCTTATGCACTACAGATAGACATTATATATATATTAGTGTAAACAACATTAGAGATTAGGAAAAGACTTATTAAAGCATGCCATTGTTTAGAATAACATTCATACCACTTCCATCTTATCAAGACTTGAAGTTGCATCCCATCAACAGCTTCATCTTACACAAGTAGATAAATTACAACATTTTAAAATATTATCTATATAATGTATCAATATGCTGTCCTACTGCCTCTTCGCTTCAGTAAACATGGAATATCTCCTTAGTCCTTCATCTTCAGCACTTTTCCTCTAAGTTCTAAGCTTGTTTTGCCAGATGAATAACGATGGCCTACAACATGTCATAAATCAAAAGTGATTACTCCAAAACAAAGTGTCTCTCTCTTTCCCTCTCCATTCTAAGCCCAGTACCCAGCCTACTACTATTAGTTACAGAGGTAAGTCAAGCAACAAACACCTGTACTAAGAATACAAAAATACAGATTTAAGTCAAGAAGGTAGCACACATCATATTTAGAACCAGTAAAATCAGAAATGTTAGATTCCTGTAGCTTATAAACTCAAAGCACTCGGATGAAATGACAGCACATGACAACTGCAAATGTAACTCAGCTTTTTACATGCTATATTTTTTTCTTCAGCACCAGGTCCTGTCCTTAATCATTGTATTAACTGGTACTTTCAAAGTTATCAACAATACAGTCAAATAGTTGTTTGGAGATGTTAACATTTTTGCTGCATTAAGTGGGAAAAAAGCACTTTGCTGAGGACCATTTATATCTCAAATTACAGACTAGTCCTCCCAAGTAACAGCATAGGGGGCAAAGAAAATCCAGACAGTCTGGGAAAAATTAGCAGAGGATGGAGCTTAGGAGCTTCGATTAGTAGAAATATTGCCAAGTCCTTTATTGTGACAGCAATTTTTATTTTACTGTGTACTAATAACGGGATTTTTTTCTCCTTTTTCAGTTCAAATTCAGCTGCTCTCTGATTTGTTCTAGTAAACCCTGATCTAGCACTAACTCTAAAACACAACCAGCTCATACAAAGGAGATGTTCTTTGTATTTACTGGAGGATGTAACAAAGAGTGAGGTAGAAGCCACGCCACGTCTCCCATGACTCCTAAAGCCTTACTTGCACCTCCCCAGAGAGGTCAGGAAGACAGGAAGCAAGCAGCCCATGGTGATGGGCCAATGTTCAGCTCAAAGGAACAACGCTGGCAGCTTTAGCTGTTACCAGGTGTGATGTGTACATGGCAGCAATGAACTTGTCTGTGGTCTCCTGGGTATCTGAGGCCATGAACGAAAGACAGGATTTCCTTTTTTTATGTTGAACCTGATTCACATATAAGGTATTAAAATAATCTTTCAGTTTCTCATTGACAGGAAAAAGAACCCACCAAAACTAAACTATTAGGGTATGAAGCATTCCTGGTTTAAGCTGGAGTTCATATCAGGACCCCGTTGAAAAATTCAGAAAATTAACATATTTTTAAGAAGGTAGCTGATAACATTTTGCAACATCTTTGTGAAAACATAATCAGTATGGTTTATCTAAAGGAGCTAAATCTTCACTTGTGCAACTTGAAAGTCCAGTCCAGACCACAACATTAAGTCCAAATGTAGACACGAGGCAGTCTTGAATATTCATGGAACATGGCATATTAATGATTTTCTTTTCCCAGTACTCTGGAGAAGTTTTTATACCTAACAGAGGTGCAAAAGGGAATGGATTAAGTAGTCAAAGAAGATAACTCATTCACGAACCTATTTTATTGGCAAGGAAAAGAACAGAATTTCTGGTCTTGAACAAAGTTTACTTTGATAAGGAATAAGAAGGGCTCATGTAATTAGTTCAGCTTTTTATTAATATCAATGACCATATCAATACATATTCTAACATGTGGAAAAGATTTTTAAGTCCAGTGCCAGTTTTGGACTGTTGACAGTCCATGAGAACATTCAGGTCAACAGGTTATGGCTGTAAGAGAAGCCATCATTTAAGCACAAAATTAGAAACTGCAGCTACAACTGGCAGTGACACATCCTCCAACAACACTACAATGGATAAAAAAATATTTTTCACATTTTTTAAGTTAAAAAGAAAATACATTCCACATTAAAAATACCTTACGGAAACCCTTATCTTATTGCAAAAGCACTGAGAAACGAGCTGGTTTTAACTCTCGACACTGAGTTTCATAGAAACGCCTATGCTACATAATGATCTAATAAGAAAAACTTTATAGAGGATGTCTGGCACAAAGCAAAGTGAAATCCATTGTCAACTTTTTCCTTTAAGAGTACAAATTTTTAAAGTAGGTATGTTAAAGTAACTACCTGGGAAGTGAGCTGTAATTAGGGTGTCACCACACTAAAACCTGGAAACTCTAATTATCAGACACACACTACAAAGTTCACGGATCAGATAAATATGAAAAGGTTAATCTTTTTTATTACACTAAGATGCATCCTGAAAGTTAAAAGAACAATAAAGATAATCACTTTCTGTTTGCTACAGCTTCACCTTCAGCTACACTTCCATTTTCATCCCACTTCTATTTTCATCCCACTTCTTCCACCTTTAAAAGATTAAAAAAGAAACAGAATATATCTACTAACCATTACTATAGAGTGCAAAAAGGTGACATAATACTCTTGCATAAATATTAGAATATTTCCATAACTCTTTAAAACCTACCTCTACTCAACATTTTCCTTTATCTCTCACTTCCTAATACATCCCTACAACCGATGTAACTCAGTTACATCTCTGCTATTGACACCCAATCCCTGTTTGTCAAAGCTGGAAGCTTATGCTTTTCTTTACACAAGGACAGAATAAGAGAAGATACCCCTCTCCACTGTATGCCTTGGATCTCACAGTAGTCCACACCCATTTTTCAGCCTGAGACTGAGCAGAAAAAAGCCAGTTCTTACCAAAAGCCAGCCAAAGCTCCCCTCTTCTAAGAGAGGGTGAAGGACCTGACTCTGCTTTGGTTCACAGAATTTTTTTGTAACAGCTAAGTCTTTAAGAATCCCAGATGCTTAAGATTACAACTACTTGTCAGAAAACAGCTGTCACCTCATCCACTCCCACAGGTCTCATTATCCACAGGTGTACTCAGGGGTAGTGGGGCAAGTCTCTGATTCTCCACATTCAACTTTATGGTTGTCTAGTTGGTTTTTTTATAGCTCTCTGTCAAATGCCAATGAGCATATATCCACAAGGGGAAAAAATAAAATAAAAAACCAACCACCTCCACAAACATACTCCAGCCTTCCATACATATTTATACACTCACACACTTTCTACAATCCTTCCCTCATGCACAGGTACTCATCACTTCACTCGCATACACACCACCCCCTATGCCATTAGCCTTCTTTTATTTATTATGGACATAAAAACGTGAGAGAGCAGATCCCACACGCTCACGCCCTTTGCACGGGCAGGCATCCCAGACACCGGGCACACACCCCAGCCCCAGCAGCACCTCACACAGACCCCGCAGCAGGCGCGCACACACACACACACACCCCCAATATACCTGCCCACAGAACACGCATGCAGGCACCCCGAGAGACTCGGGCACACAAACACCAGCCCTCACACGGCACACAGGGAGAGCACCGCCACCGCCGCCCCTCCATTGTGCTGCAGCCCCGGAGCGCAGCCCCGCAGCCGCCCGGCCCGCGCTGCCCCGTTACCCGTGAGGCTGCGGAGGACGGTGCCGTGAGCCCACAGGCTCAGCACTTGCTGCACCGACAGGTTGATCATGGAGTTGTCCCCCGCTTCCACCTTCATGGTGCCGCCGCCGGGCGGGGTCCGGCAGCCGCCGGACCGCGGGGCGGGAGGGAGACGGCGGCGGCGAGGAGCGAGAGGGCGGGGAGGCGGCGAAGGGAGCTCCGCGCCGCGGTGGAGACATCGAGGACGGCGGCCGGGGGGAGCCGGGCGATCTCGGGGGAGGAGGGGAGCCGGCCGCTGGCGCTTCCCTGCCGCTCAGGGGCAGGGCCGGGCGGCGGAGCCCATCATCATCACCATCATCACCACCTCCTCCATCAGCAGTGGCCGCCGCCGCCTCGCCGGCGGCATCGTCACCCCGGTGGCCGGCATCACCTGGAGCGAGGGCGGGGCGGCCGCGGACCGTCCCTCAGACGGGCGGCTCCATGCGGGAGCAGCGGCGGCAACGGGGAGGCTCCCGGCGCCAGACGCCAGCGGCTCCCGGAGGGGAGGGGGAGGGAGCGGGAGCGGCGGGAACGGGAGCGGGGCAGCGGGAGCGGGAGGGCGGCCCCGCGCAGGCGCGGCGGGAGGAGCCGGGGGGCGCGGGCTCCTCCCACCAAACGGAGAACCAAAATTCGGAATCGCGATTTGACTCAAAGAGGGCGGGAAAGACTGGGGATGTCGTGGATCCCCAAAGAAACTCGCGTTAGCAAGAAGCGTCTCAGATCAAATCTGCATATACCTATGGGCAGATTTAAAGGGGAAAATAAAGTGATAACATTCCATGGTGTTAAATCTGGTATTTAAGTTGATGCTGCTGAGTGCCTGTAAACAAGGGAGAAGAGCAAAATGCAGACTCTGAATTCTGATGAGAGCAGTATTTTCACCTCGCTGCTCACAGCCTTAGGGCACGGAGCTCCAGAGAGTGCAGGCGGAGGCGCCTCCGCGGCTGCCTCGGCGGGTCTGGGGACACAGCCCGGGCGGAGCAGGACGGGACAGGGACAGGGACAAAGAAGCGCAGCGCACAGGGCGGGTGCCGCTCGGGAGTGCCGCAGCTGCCGGCGCGCAGGTGACAGCACGCGTCGCAGCGGAGGAGCTGTCATCCCGAGCTGTCATCCCGAGGCAACATCCAGGCAACGCTGCGTGACGCTCCTGCCTTTGAACCTCCTAGCTCCGCCGACACTGTGGCCGCAGATTAAAGCCACCGAAAGTTAGAAGACGTCAGAAATCCTGAGCGAATCTTTATTCTGTGCCTTTGCTTTCTTTATGTAATAAAGGAACAGACCCTTTAAGCTGGATGTGGCTTCTTTCGAAGCACGGGATGCACGGCACTTACCGATGTAAAAGCCAGCAATCATCCCGCATGCATTCTTAAATATGCATCCCTAGGCCACATTTAGTGCCCGCACTTCCTCGCTGGCATTTCTTCAGCAGTACTGGCTACAGTACCTCGTAAACATCACTTTATGCCAGCGTCCTTTGATGGAAAGGGTTGGAGTGGTAAAGCAATTAATAATAAAATTTGCAATTTATAGATTAAGAGCCATGACAGATAAATCAACTCATGTCCTGCCTGATGCCAATGACCCAGTGTTTTTGGTTGGTTTTTTTTCAGATAGATTTTGCAGGATGTCTGGTTCAGGGGAGTGCTTCCAAAGCCTTTTGCAGCTGACAATACTTGGCATTTCTGCAGGTAGGTATCAAGCCAGGCAATGAGAAACACACAGGGAACAGCTCCCTAGGGGGCTCTGGATTTCACTGGTTAAGCATGGGATCACTAGTGGAGAAAGAACTCAGCTGCTGGGTCAGGTCCCTGTTCCATGATCAAGAGAATGTCCTCTCTCTTCCTCTTCTTGTAACCCCACCACTTCACAGCTGTGTAATTCAGGCCCTACAGAAAACAGTTCCCTTCATTATACAGTAGTGATTCATTTTTAGGGCAGAATTATTCCATAGTTGGAGTAGGGCTCAGTGAGAAAATAGCATATAATTTAAGTTTGAATGTGAAACGTACAATGAATTATTTAGGAACAGTTTTTCTGGTTTATTCTTTTTAACTTTTGTGTGCTAAACATTGAGAAAACAAACATTTTTAAATGTCCTTAAATAAAATCCCCACTCCTAAATTTATTTTTGTTGTAGACCAATGTCCCAAGAATGAGGTACGGTCTGCAGGACCGTAATCACAGTCTGCAGGACCGTAAGTGGTGTAATCAAACTTACAGTAAAAAGGAAGACTACTTTTAGTGACCATTTTATCTCACCCATCTCCTGTGATAACCTACTGACAGATGTCAGAAAAACTATCTGATAGGCCAGAGGCATGCATGGAAACATGCATGTGTCTGTAAACAATGCTGCATTGGTGCCCAGTGACCTTTCAACCAGCACATGGATGATTTTTCATGTTCCACACGAGGAAGAATGCATGGGGAATACTGGCTTTGAAACACTTGTGTCCAGAACCTGCTAGAACACCTTCCTCAAGGATTTACAGTAGAAGTACAGGGAACACATTCATGTAGAGGTCGAGTGAGTATCTCTGTAGTTGCAGATTCTTGCAATATTTGCTCGGGTCCATCCTTCAAGGTTTTGCAGATGCTCTCTCCTCCCGGGAGGGCTGATCATTCTGCAGCAGTGCAGGAACAACAGGAACACAGAGCTGCTCCTCTAAGCCCTAGGAGAACAAACCAGCTTTCTTTCCAAGAGACATCCACCAAAACCACAGGCCAGCTTCCACTGAAACTCCATCTAAGAGGCTAAAAATTGTTGTCAAACCTCAGGCATGCAACATCTAAATTAACTGAGCATTTTCTATCAAACACCTCCAACACACTTGGACAGTGTACAAGTGATAAAGGGACAGAGACTCATCTTAAAAATGGCCATAATTCATATAAGTTATTCAACTTAATCCTCAACCCATCATCCAGCAGGTGATCTGGATACAAATTTAAATACAAATTCATCATATGTAAACAAGGCTAAGTGGGTAATTCAGGAAAATAGGAAAATATTGCTGAAGTATTGACTTTAAAGCAAATTTTAAAAATAATCATACATGGCAGTGACATTTCCCAGTAGCACAACACTAGGAGGATGTCATTCTGGAGAAACAGAGTCCATTGAATAAAGCAGCAGAAACAGTCAAAATTCACTCTTCCAAGCTGTAGCTTCATAGGAGCAGGGAATTGAGGGAATTGCAGCCAACTCTGTCCTCAGCAAGGCCTCCCACACGGCTGGTGCTGCCACAGAAGTCCTGAGTGTATCAGCTCCCTGCAGGGATTATTGTGAGCTCTGTAGGCAGCAATGTATGGAGCAGCAGCAATGATGGCAAGGGGCTCCCAGCAGGACTTAGGCTGTGGCTCAGGGGAAGAATAAACCACACGTGCTTGAGCAAGTCAGGCAAAGGTGGTGAGGGCTGAAAAAGCCACAGGGATGAGAAACCACAATGGGCAGCACTGTCCTGATAAGTAAAACAGGAAAGAAAAAGAAGAAAGAAGGAGGACGTAATCTCAGAGTTTCATCAGATAATGTAGCTCTGTTCCATAAATTATTCATGGTTAAAAAAAGAGAAGTACTCCTTTTGCAAGGGCCTGGTAAGACCACTTCCACTGCTGTGGCACCCTGAACATGGGGAGGACAGGCACAGCAGAGAATGTGGGGATGGATCAGGGCAGGTGACTGTGTCAGAGAAGAGGGCTTGCTAGTAGGGTGGCAGAGGGAGGGCTGGCAGGCTGGGTATGACCAGCTCTGATAACCCTCTGCAGAGCAGGGATCAGGAGAAGGCTTGGAACTGCAGGGAAAGCAGCAGGGGAGGGGAGAGAAGCTGAAAAATAAACCTTCATAATTTGTGTAGAAATCCCAGGTTTCCACTCCTGTGTGGTATTCCAGAGGCAGGGACACAGCTCACAAGATCTGCCTGACAGCCAGCCCTGAGCCACCACAAACGCCTGAGAGACTCCAGGCCTCCTTTGCACATCCAAACCCACCAGTGAAACGGTCCCTGGGGAGCACCTGAAAGCTTATACAGGGACTGATCTTCATCCCAGATGAGCTCATTTTCCTTCCCCTGTTCCCCTATTCCCTCACAGCAGCTGGGAGGTTTGGGAACTTCCCTGTGCTGCGTGTGTGCAGAGCGCTGCAAGGAGCCAGCTGTAAACTCTGACTTCAGCCACAGGAAATTAGTTTCACAGGTGGAAAAGTAGGGTCAGCTTAGTTTCTCTGCCCTGCAAAAGATCAGAATACATCTACATAAGTTGCTATTAACTTCTGGTATTGTTTTCGGAAGCTGAAGAAATAATGATAAATTTCACTGGGGAGTCCTTGGCTGGATAATTTTCCACTTGGAAAGGTAATGCTGTTCAAAATGAACTGATTTCTTAAGTCACATCTCTTTAGAAAAACAGACAAGACTGAATATGTTCTATTGCTCTGAAACAAATATTTAATTTTCCATAGTGAATACAGCTTTTCATCATAGTAAAACATCAAAATCCAAATAGCAACCCCTTTTGGTCCCCTTGAAGAGCGGAATTCTCACTTGAGATTTTCTAGCCAAATCTGGCCATGTACATTGACTGGCACTGCAGTTAAAGATCTGTTTTAACTGAATGGAAAACCCCAGCACTTGTCATATATGCAGACACTTTTCCCCATTTCAAAGGGGCTTTTTGGCCTTTGACCCAAGCCACTGACAAGATGTTACAAATGCAGATAATAAATTAATACCTCTGATGTTAGCAATAAATTTCTTCCTACTTGTCCCCTTTCTAGACCACCAATTTCTTCTCAATCAGAAGAATTGGCAGTCACAGCTAGTTGTGGCTGGAGAAGTGGGCCTTTCAGACATCCTTGGCTTCCTAATCTCAGCTCTCAAAAGGCTGAAACACGATCTCAGCCGCTAACCTCGATGACGGATGAAGATGCCTGGACAGCCATGTAGGAGAGGAAGGAAGTAAGGTGATACCACGGGCTCAATATCGCAACTCCCCAGCACGAAAGCAGCATCACAGGTTGATCTAAGGCATCAGGAACCATCGGGAGCCGGCTCCCAGGGCGGCAGAGGGAGGCAGAGGTGCGCGGGAGACTTTTCCCCACGCACCGGCAGATGGAGCGCCGCCGTACCGAGCCTGCTCCGGCAGCCGGCTGCGCTCTGCCCCCGCCGCACGCTGCCGGGCTTTGCTGGCAGGGCTGCTGCAAGAAGATACCTGTGGATACTTAGAAACTGCAGTTAGATTTTTTTTTTTTAATTAAAATTTTGGAGGAAAAATTAAAAGAGTCTGCTTAGTCTATTTAGAGAATATCCCTCTGTAAAATACATTGATTTTTGAACCAATAGTTTGCATGTATTAAAATGCCTGAAGGATTGAACCCACCATGAAATAGAAAAGTCCCACTGACTACTCTAAAAAGATTTGTCGTAAGTAAAATTACCTAGACTTGTATCTAATTTTAAAAAAAATATTTAAATCTGCACTGCTTAAAAGATCAACTCACCTATTTGTTTTAAACAATACTGTCATTCAGAAATATAAACTTTCTCCTACTCTCTCTC